TAACAAAACACAGGCATGTGAGAGAGCTTTTTACATGAATTTTAGCAAAGAGATGAATACGCTCTCATTCTTAGTGGTGTTCAGGACAAGGGGATGCTTGCCTTGAGATCTACTTTGTAATCAAATGGCATTGATTCTTGGAATGGTGCCAACTCGATGTTTCTGGACTAATACTACCACCTATAATATTGAAAACAGCTCATGCAAGTTGAATTTCTTTCACATGATAGGCAATGTCCCTGGCAATCCACGTGAAGTTAGCCATTTTTCCCCCCATCAAATCCATGGGAAAAAGCCATTATTATTCTACTTTGCATGTGAGGGTTAGTGAGGAGATGGGTAAATACCTTCCTCAGTGCCATAGTGAGCAGCAATTGGCTCCAGAGACTGAGCTCACCCAGAGTGCTATTCTACTGAAGAATTTTTACATTATAGCTAGGCAGAGCAGCCGTGGAAATGGGACTAGAAAAGCAAGAGCCTCTGTAGAAATGCAACAAACATTTCCCTCGTCTTACTCTGACAACTCTCTTTCTCACCCAAAAACACAAGCTGCACTCGGATTTGTTCTGCCTGTTCCTTTCTCTATAGCAGCAGTGATGGAACCTGTTTAGGGCCATTTTCTTCTCTAGTGTTGGTCTATTTCCCATAGGACCATGGTCCTGACCTGCATCTAATCTCTACCCCTGAATTTTGGTTTTGGAGTCAACCTCACCCCATGCGGTTCTTATCTAAACCTTCTGTTCAAAATCCATCTGTGCAGGGTGCTGTGAGAAAGAGAAACAAAAGAGCTTATAGCTGGGTCCAGCTATGCAGGACTTTGAGCTAGAGGGTTAATGCCTTAAACACCTGAAGAGGTTTGCCTCCCAAGTAAATCCTCCTCTGAGCAAAGCAATCACTGCAAACAAGGTTAATGGCCATGCACAATCAATTGCTGCAAGACTGGGATTTGGATGATACACCACTGTTCAAACAGAATCTGGAAGAGGTAGCACCTAAGGGCATTGACAGTTATGAGGAAATAATCCAACTGACTTAAATGTCTGGACTTTTTACATTTCATTCTTATCTAAACAGAATGATATGTTTCACATTGTATTATGACTGAGAATATACCATTTGGATTCAGGGTGAACTGTGGGGATGGGTTTATATCAGAAAGACATTTGGTCATCCAATCACACTGACTGAGTGTCAGCTGGGAGCAACCTGGTGGATTACACATGACATCCAGGAATTGGAGTAAGGGGTGTGGAGCCTACGCTTCTATGCATGTGCTGGGTCGCCTAAATCCCTCTACCTTGCAGTCCTTAACTTTTAAAGTATAGGTGGTGATATATCCCACAAAGCTGTTGTACAGATTATGTTTGTCTCCTCCAAACTTAAAACAAGGATTGAAGTGCCAGTTCTTTATTAGGAAAGTAAAGGGAGCACTTCTAAGGGAACAAGAAATGAGGTAGGGAGATAATTCAACCAATAAGAAGTTATCAAATTAACTCTCAGTGTGGGGAAACTGGAGCTGCATCTTACTGAGAGCTTAAGAGCTGCCACATCCAAGAACGAGGCAGCTGGGGTATTTCTACACTTATTACTCTGGTTGAGGGCTACTCCCAGGGTGTGCTCTTCCGCAGCAAGTAAATGAGGCTAAAACCTCTGGAGTTGTAAAGAGGGGAATACCAGTGGACAGTGGGGTGCTCAGTGACTGCTGAAGACTGTGCCAGCTGCTCAGTGTGAAAGCCTTTTGTCATGGTTTGCGCACTCTTTGCACTAAGTTCTGTGCTTGATCCCAGGCACGGGGAGTGAGGACATGCTCTTGTGATAATCTCACTGAAGTGTACAAGACAGACACTGAATTTATTGGGAGCAGTGAAGAGTGCTAGGATAGGAACTAGTAAGGGGTTCTGGGAAGTGCAGATCTGGAATTTAACCTATTAAGTAGGTCTGGGAGCAATTTTCTCCCACCACTCAGGTAAGGTTTTATTTAACCCTTAAGGGTATGCCAGCTTTAGTCAGGGGGAAAAAACTACCAGTGCAGGGGAAAGGAACATTCAGGTGATTCAATTACTGAGGAGATCTTGAAGCAGGAGAGATCAGGACTCAGCAAACTATGGCCCTAGGGCAAAACCATCCAATTCCTATTAATGTCAATAAAATTTTATTGAAACACAGCCATATTCATTGATTTATGTCTTGCTGATGGGGGCTTCCACCATCAGAGATAACTGGCTGCAAGAGAAATTATCACCCACAAAACCATCACCCACGATCACCCCCATACCCTGCAATACCTTGCATGTCAAATGCTAACCTGAAGAACTTCTCTAGATTAAAGTAAGCTAGAGAGGTAAAGTAGCATAGAGGTCAGTAAACTTTTCCTGACCTCTGATTTACAGAAGAACTGAATCTAGATTCTAATGCATTTTAAATGTTCAATAATGTTTTTTACTACTGTATGTAGGTATGTATATAGCACTGTATGTAGGTATGTAAAGAACCACTTGTGAAAAGACTCCAAGGACAACGAAAAGGCAAAAAAAAAAAAAAAAAGAAAGAAAAGAGAGAGAGAGAGAAACTACAATGCCCTGTGATAGATTCTGTAATAAAAGGCTGTACCAAAGGTGTATTGAGCTGCCAAGAAGAAATAATTAGTTCTGCCTAGGGAGTGGAGATGGCTTTACAGAGGAAGAGACGGGTCTTGGAGTCAAAGTTCCTTTCCAGGTTAATGTAGGGAGATAGAATTAATCTGGGTAGAGGGTAGGATTGTTCAAAAGTATAGAGAAATGAGAAAGGAAAAAGTGTTCAGGAGAGATTGTAGTCTACCTCCCTGTGCCTCCCAGCAGCTGGCAGGGCGTAAGTGTTGCCTCCTAGGAGAATTGCCACTTAACTCCCCTCACCTCCACTACCAGCTTAAAAAAAAAAAAAATCAGGAGTTAGTCAGCAAGAACAAGCAGTAACTGGATCACTGGGTTTGCGGAGTTCTCAGAAAATAACGAATTCTCCAGTTAAAGGATTCAAGACAGGGAAGTGGAAGATTGCAGATAAGTGAAGCAATAAGGTTTGAAGTGTTAGGATCCTTGGGTATAAAAACCATATATATTTGACCTCCCACTGGGCAAATGGTGAACAATGGGAGCGTGAGAAAAGATAATGGTACAGCTGATTCTAACACCATAGCATAAAATAAGGATCCTTAGTCCTTGCTGATACAACTTTAAACATGTGAATAAGTTAGCACATGAGGGGGAGGGTAAGGAAAGCTCTTCTCCAAACTAGAACGCCAGTTAATAAATGTAGAAGGGATCATGGGATTAGAAAATTACCATTTGACGATCACAAAAAGACTGTTTTGGGAAATTATGGTCACTGAAGGCTTGAAAAGAAACAAGATATTTGTGAATCTGGGCATTCCTCCTTATAATTGTAAATGAAAAGGGAGAAAATGTCAAGATTCTGTAGAAGGGGCTTGACAGATACTACCCTAGTAGACACTGCGCTTCCTAATTCTACAGGACCAGGTATGCATCTGTGGGCATTCTTACCATAAATGTATGACCTGGAGCTAATTGTAGACCATGGCACACATCCAAACTGTGGGCTAGTAGACAAAATAAGTCGCCTATACTAGTAGAATATGTCATGGTCTTGAAAGATAGAATGAAGCTGAGGAATTTCTCTAGATTAAAAGTAAGCCAGAGAGACATGAGTTCTAAACACAAGTTAAGATCCTTGATTGGGTCCTGAGTCAGAACTTATTTTCAGGTACTATCAAGAATATTAGGGCATAATTGGCCAAATCTGAATAAGGTTTCTAGACTAGATAATATTCTTTCAACCATATTAATTTTTTAATTTCATCATTGTTCTATGGATCTGTAAGAGGAAAAACAATGTCTGTTTTTGGAACATGCCCTTCTACAGATCAGAGGTAAAGGGCCATTGAGTTTGTGATTTTTTCTCCAATGGGTGGAGGTAGGGAAACAGAAATCAAGTAAATATGGGAAAATGTTAATATTTCAGAAATCCGGGTTAAAGATATAAAGGAATTATCTCTATTCTTTTTGAAACTTTCTCATATATTTGAATTCATTTCAAAATAAAAAATAAAAATAAATATCTGTATGTTTTGGAAGACCTTTGGAGTTACAGAAGAAAGACCCAAACCAATCTGGACTGGAATCTTGATTAAATAGCTGTGTGACTCTGAACAAGTTAGTTAGCCTAGCTGAGCCTCAGTTTTCTCATTAATAAAATGGGAAGATTAGTACTCACTTCTCGGGGTGAGGAATTGTGAATAAAGACAACACAGCTTGGGACGTTCTGGAGTCTGTCTCCCAAGTAGCTCTGTTGACTCCAACTGGTCAACTGCAGGGCTTTGACATGCTTTGCAAATTTCAGGCTGTCCCTGCGCAATTAGATCTACTGGATGGCGTGGCTATAAGTTCCAACTTTCTCTTCAAAATACTAGTTTATGAAAAATTGGTGGATAGTAATATAGTCAAACTAAAAGTTTTTTTTTTTAATAGTTTTTAAGGGTTTTTTTTTTTTTTTTGATAAATTCCACTTTCCCAACATGGCTTCTTGTTCCCTCAAGCTGAGGAGAGCATTCTCTTTACTAACCTGGTTCCCAGAACTTTGGAAGAGCATGTGGGGAGGAAAGAAGAGTGGAAACACAAGAGGCAGTTTGGGCTGGGAGTGGAAATGGGCTGGGAGAAATGGCAGAGAAGACTGGAAGGAACATTGCTGGGGTTAGAGTCAGTTTTAATATTCTTGAAGAGAAAAAAGTTACATTTTTTTTACTTTTAACTGTTATACTGTGTCTTCTTTACAAACATGGTCATTACTAAAGTTGTATCATTTGCCTTTTTGGAAGATGGTCAAGAATGACTTCCCTTCCTGCCAGTTAACTGCCCCTGCCACGCCAGCCTCCTTTAATGCACAGGAAGTTGATATCATCATATCCAAACCAGGACAACCACAAAGCAGAAAAGCTAGCATCAGGCATTTGGAAGGAATGGATTAGGTAAAAGTTGGGTAGAAAATAGTATTTAACTCTGGATAAACTGTAGGTTGTTATGTTTTATGCTTAAATGCATGTCTTTTAAGTTACACTGGCTGCCCCTGAACTCCATTAACCCCGGAAAGCTTAACATACATTTTCTCTCTCTATGAGAAGTGTTGCAAGTAGATTTTCAAGTGGGGAGAGTGATGTTGATAGAAGTCACTCCCTTAAATTCACTTGGTGGATGAAAGAAAGTCACAGCCCTTATTAATACAGAAGGCCCATGTGACTCTTAGCGATGTGAGCCATTATCTTTTCTCTCTCTTTACTTCTCCCTGAGGGTTTAACAGGATAAGCCACTATCAGCTTTTAAAGATGGCTACCTGCTGTCACAAAGTCCCACTCCTTATCACAAAAGTACATTGGTGGTGTTTTGAGATTGCCATATACTTGATATTTTCCTTTTCAGCTTAGTAAACCCTTTGGGATCTTTCAAGATAAAGCCATTTCACAAATGTAGCTGTATTACAGAATAAAATACTTTATAGGGGACTTCAAGAAAATTACATTAGTCTCTGCCTCTTTCTTCCTGGTGCTCTACTATTCAGATTGTTTCCTAAGTACAGAACGGGGTCCACGATGGGCTTATTAGATCTCAGCCATCTCCATTCCTTTTTCTCTTTGGCATGGGTTTCCTTTCCAGCCTTCTGAGGATTACATGGTACTAATTGAGAGGCATAGCACTGTGCGCACCAAATAACTCATGAGGTCTCAAAGCTCATCTCTCGCGGGCGGCTGCCTGCTCCCTGTGTGAGCAGAGGAGAGCAGTACACCACAAAGCAGCCGCTGATGCTGCCTGGCCTTGTCCAGCTGTGAGAACAAGCTAGGAGTTCGTGTTCTTGCATATGGCTTTCCAGTGAGCTTGCTGTTGCCTTGGTAGGAGAGTGACTTCTAGGGCTTCAGAAGCAAGGCAGGAAAAGCCTGCTCCCCTGGGTCTCTCACCCCAAGGGGAACTGGAGATTGTGTGCATTTTGTCAGTACATGCAAAGCACTCAGCTAACTTTGTGTAGGGCTTACTGAGCCACAGATGCAGTTCTGGGTGTGGAGGGTTTAATGTGTAAACAGGAATCAGATATGGGCTCTGTGCCTATGGAGCTTACATTCTACTGGAGAGTCAAGGTTTAAATCTACCATCATAGAATATATTATGTAATTCCAGTTGTAATTACGGATTCAAAGGAAGACAATCTATGAGAGAACATAAGCCAACAGACTCACTTAAAATGTCAGGTTAGCAGTGACTTTGTGAGGCTGTGGTGGGGGAAGCACAAGGCCAGCCCACCTCAGCCCCAACAGACCCACCTTGGCAGGTGGCCTCTGGCACCATGGAGATTCTGTTACACCATTTCTCCTACATTCCTTTGTTTAGTTTTGCAAACTAACATAGGCCTCTATTGTTGCTATAAGTAATTACCACAAAAAAAAAAAAGAACAGCAATTTATTTGCTCACAGTTCTGGAGGCTAAAAGTCCAAGTAAGGGCAGGGCCATACTCCCTCTAGAAGCTCACAGGAGGATCCTTTCTGCCTTTCCAGCTCCTGGAGCTCTAGCAGGTCCTTAGCTTGTGTCCACATCACTCTTGCCTCTGCCTCTGTGGTTACGTCACCTGTTTCCCTGTGTGTCTCATTCTCTCTGTGTCTTAAAAGGACTCTTTACAGTACTTGGATTTAGGCTCCATTTGGATTATCTCAAGAGCCTTAGCATAATCACAGCTGCAAAGACACTTTTTCTAATAAGCTAAAATTCATGGACTGGTTCCTGGGATCTGATCTGGATACCTCTTGGAGGATCACAATCTGTCCTACCTCAGTATCTATGTTACTTTACCATGGCTTCATGACCAAGAAAGGGAAGATTCCCAGAGGTTTCTGGTTTAATTGCCCTGGGCTAAAGCCCAAGCTTTTTGTTTTTAAGATTTATTTATTTATTTATACAAGAACCGGGGTACAGGCCAGAGGTGCGGGAGAGTGAGAGAATTCACCAGAAACAGAGCAAGGAACAGAACAGGCAATCTGACAAAATACACTGCTGAGGGGAGCAGCGGGTGAGACAGGAGAGGTCTGCTGGCCATGTGGGACCCTCGCTGGCCGGAATCAAACCAGAGCTGCAGAGGCTGTGGACAGCTTCACAGCACTGCGCTCAACCACCTTGTGCCACCATGGGAAGCCCTCTGTTTGTTTTTTAAGTCTTACTGTTTGATTCTCATGGACAAAAGACAGAGTCACCCACTGGTGTCCACAGGGAGGACATAAGAGTTCTTTGAGTTGCAGAGAGTTCATTCCAATACTTTATCATTTAAGGTCAAAAGTTAACATATTATGTATCTAGAGGATTTAGTAAGTGTAAAGAAACCTAATCAAATAAAGACACCTAACTTTCTGTCCTCTGCCCTCAGATCTGTGGGTCAGCTACCTTTTGTTTTCCAAGGAGCACTGTGAGGTGAGTATGGGGCAGAGTGGCAGTTGTCATCAGGAGGCCTGGTGTACAGCACCCTCACATTGACAGTGAGAAATCCACTCTCATATCTCCACCTCCAACTTTTTGTCAAGAGGTGGAAGGTGAGCTGGGAGGAAGTCTGTGTGGGTTTTGCAGAGCAGCAGAAGTGCAATGACACTCTCAAATTCTGTGGAGCCATAGAAGCAGCAGCAGATTTGCGCTGGCCTCTCAGCTGCTGCTCACAATGTTCTAAGGCAGCCCAGAACCTGAGAATCCAACATGGAATATTCCAAAACAAAACAACTATCCATATTTTACAGCATTTTTCATCTCTCCAAATCACAATGTAAGATAGAGATGCTTATACTAGAATAAATTTGTATTGAGTTCTTCCTATAATTACAAATCACAATGGACTTGTTTGAATTAACACTTGTTATTTTTTTTTAAAAAAAAAAGAGGACACGGTTGCAACCTTGTTATAGACAAATGAAAGACAAAAACCTTCTCTAGGCTGTGCTTATACAAAGATGTTCCCTAGGAGAAGCTGGAAATAAACCAGAATGTAACTTTGGGGTCCATGGGTCTTTGTTTTTGATTTGTATATTATTGTAATTACTACCCTTGCTATTGAATCTGAAACCTAAGGTATGATTTTCTTCGAAAAGCCAGGGATGAAAACTATTGAATGGCTAAAGAAGATGTGGTATAAATACACAAAGAAATACTACTCAGCTATAAAAAGATGAAATCTTGCCATTTATGACAACAGGGATGGACCTTGAGGATATTATGCCAAGTGCATTATTCAGAAGGATCAAGACAAATACTGCATGACTCACTCACATGTGGAAAATTTATTGAAAGGCAAATGAACAAACAAAACAAAACAAACTCTTGGACTCAGAAAACAGATTGATGGTTACCAGAGAGGAAGGGGGCAGAAGGGTCAACTGTGTGGTAGCATGGAAACTAGATTTTTGGTGGTGAACATGTTGTATGCAGCATGTAAATGTATGTAGATATTGATATGTTGTTCACCTGGAACTTGTATGACAGTATAAACCAATGTTAAGTCAGTAAAAAGTTTGAAAAGAAAGAAGCAGGAAGGAGAAAATACCATTCTTCTCTAAGGTCCAGATCAAGGGGACAGTGGTCCATGATGGGCATGCACATTTATTTCACCCTTTTCCACCATGTCTTCTTTCCCAATCATCCCTGGGCTCCAGGATCCTATTTCTAACTATTTACTTAACGTTCCCACTTGGAAATCTGAGAGACACATCAAATTACACATGGCCCTTACCCCACTGTGTTTACTCCTGCCCAAGCTCTCTCGGTCTCAAGACAGGACCACTGTTCACCAACCTGCTTGAGCCTGAAGCAAAGGAGTCCCCTCAGATCCTCTCCTCATTACAATTTCCAAAAGTAATTCTGCAGCAAATGTCAGTTACAGCTTCAGCACTTGCCTATTCTATTTCTTCTCTTTACCTCAAACTCACCCAGCCCATGCAGACACCCGCAGACACCCTCGGGTCTCACCAGAATCATGGTGGATGCTCCTTCTGCTTTCTCTGCTTCTTTTGCCCTCCCTATAGCCATCTCAACCTTTCTGACAAGGTGGATTTTAATCACTTGGGTTGCATATCACTTCACTGCTCAAAACTCTGCAATCGAATGTAAAAATCATAATCTAAAAAAGTTTGGCAGGTTTTTGTTTTTGTTTCTTTATATATAATTAAACACATAGATACCATGAAACCCAGCCCCTGCACTTTTAGGCATTCAACTCAGATAATGAAACTTCAGTTTAAACACAAACCTGTATACAAATGTTCAGAGCTGCCTTATTTATAATTGCTAAAATTTGGAAACGACTGAGATTCTCCACTCAGTGACAGGAAGGAATATGTAAATTTACACAGCAAAAGGGACTTCGCAAGTGGGATTAAGGTGGCCAGTCAGCTAACCTTGAAGTAGATAGATTTCCTTGATTACTCAGGTGGGCCCAGTGTCATCACTTGAAGGTGGAGAAGGAGGCAGAAGAATCAGAGGACATATGACTGAAGGAAAAAAATGGTCAGAGAGATGCAACTTTGCTGACTGAAGATTGAGGAAGGGACCACAAAACTCCAGAAGTTAGAAAAGGAAAGGAGACAGATTCTTCTCCAGAATCTCTAGAAAGTGCACAGCCCTGCAAGCACTTTGATTTCAGCCAAGTGAGGTAAATGGGACTTCTGACCATATAGAATCATCAGATAGTAAGTCTGGGCTATTTTTTAAAATTTATTTATTTATGTATACAAGAACTGGGGTGTAAGCCAGAGGTACAGGGGGGTGAGAGCATTCATCAGAGGCGGGGAGCAGAACAGTCAGATCTACTGAAATCAACACTGCTGAGGTGAGCAGCAGGTGAGACAGGAGAGGTCTGTTGCACCACGTGGTTTGCTCCCTGGCCAGCTTGGGATATAACTGGTGCTGTGGTGGCTGGCAATAGCTTGATAGCACTGTCTTTAACCCCTGCGCCACCAGGGAGGCACCCCAGTCTGGGTTATTTTAAAAGACGAGCATTGTGGTATTTTGTTATAACAGCAATAGGAAATGACTACAGGAGCAGACATCACCAGTTTCCCCAAAATATCATTCAGATTTGACAAAGTGAATGTCCTTTAATTCTGCTGTCATCACCAAGGCTTTCTCGTCTTTGTCTTGTTTTTAAACAAAATGTGAGTTAGAAATGTAGGAAAGATGCAAGAAGATGAATGTGAATTGTGAAGCAGAGGTTGTTCAAATAACAGGGGACATTTTCTTGTTTTGTCTATGCCATCGCTAAGAAAGATAATTATTTATATCAGAAAGGGAAATGTCAGGTGTTGGTTACAGCTGTCAGACCACGAACACTGCTGGGAGAACCTCTCTCCTCGCCAAAATACCAAACAATGTGGATTTCAGAAATGCCATAGAAGTGGAAGCACACTTCAAATTGATCTTTAATCTTCTCTTTTTGTACTAGGTAATTCCTGGGGTAAGATTTCGTTCATTTCAAGCACTTCAACATCTACCTGGTGGAAGATCACATTCAGCCCTCAGGGTGAATTCTCCTAAAATGGGTTCATTTTCCCAGATAAGAGCATAATAAATGCCCAGGAAGGCCTTTCAGCAGGTCATCTGCCTTGTTGACCCCAAGTTGACCAGCCCTCCTACCTATCTGACACCTGACCATTCTGGTTCCCTGGTCCTGGAAGTCTGTGACTGTGGTTGGGCACTTGAGTTGAATGACTCTTAAATGAGGGTCATGGGCATAGACATCTCCACAGAGTCCAAGGCCAGCTAAGCAGCACTTGGTGGCCATCTCTAGGAGGGAATCCTTTTGTCCCTGAAAACCCAGTATGTCCAATAACATTGCACTAATTATCCCTCACATCAGCTCCTCTGCTGTATTTTCTACCTGGTAAACCATTCTATCGAAAAAGTAAACTTTCTTTTCAAATATTTGCCAGATTTCTCTTTCTGGAATACCACCAACCATGGGCCATCACTAGGCCCTTGCGAGTCTACCATCTAAATTTCTCTTTTCTATACTCCCTCCTCTTCATGCCTACTGCCTCTGCTGAATGCCAAGCTTACTAGGGGGATTTAAATCTGCTCACATATATCAAGCATAGGCAGTAAACCGGATAACTGTTTGAAGAACTTCTGAGGCAATGATTTTAGCGATTCCTCCCAGCATCACTATGAGGGAGATATTTATATTATGCTGAATTTTAGAAGCAGAGAATGATGCTAAGAGAGGTCAAATGTTTTTGCCATGGACAGATATCAGGTGGAGGGTAGAGTTGGGATTCAAGCATAGATGAGTCTCACACCAGAGTGTGAGTACTTGGTGACTCAGCTGTGAGTTTACTGAGAGTGGAGCAGAGATCTCTCAAAGCACTTTTGCTATGCCTTAGACAGTACAGATTCTTCCAGGCAGGTAGATTAAGGAGAAAGTCAAGAGACTTCACTTTGTCTTGCCTCACGAGGAAATGGACATAAACAATGGAAACAGCACCCATTCCTTGGCTGCCATGTCTCCAACAGTGGCAATAACTGATAACGACAGTGCAGTTTAAGAACTGTCCATTGCAATCTCCTCTACTAGCCACCACCTATTAAGTGCTAGCCACTGGCATTTTCCTTGGTGCATTTTATGCATTATCCCACTTAATGTGCCAATAGCTTTATGAGGAGATGAACTCAGAAAAGGTAAAGAACTTTGTAATTATCACAATATCACTTAATTGATGCATCCAGGCTTTTCTGAGTCTGAAGCTCATGTTCTGAACATCAATACATTTCCCTGTATGCTTATTCAGCTAAGGACATGGACTTTGACGATAGCAGGTGACATGTATGAGAATGAAATTGTGCATTCTTGATCAAGTATGTAACGTCTCTGAGTAAGATGGGGGTGCTACTGTCAGCCCCCTGAAGTTCCAATATCTGATACCTGACTCCAAAATGTATTCATTCAGCAAAATGTGTACTCATGACTGGAAAGAAAATTTACTTTTTTCTCCACATTAATTTTACATAAAAGAATGTACCAGAGGGCCTCCCTGGTGGCACAAGGGGTTAAACACAGCACTGTGAAGCTATTCGCAGCCTCTACAATATGAGTTAGATCCCTGGCCAGCGAGGGAGCTACCCACATGGCTCAGCAGACATCTCCTGTCTCACCTCCTGCTCCCCTCAGCAGTGTATTTTTAGTCAGTCTGCCTGTTCCGTTCCCCACTCTGTCTCTCATGAATCTTTTCACCCCCCCCACACCTCTAGCTTGTACCCTAGTTCTTGCATGCATACATAAATAAATCTTTAAAAAAAAAAAAAAGAATGTACCAGAAACTATGATTTATCCACCAACGAAAGACCAGTGTCTCCTGTTTACGATTAGATACAGTTGTGTGGTCAGTTGATATTCAAAGAGATGGGCAGAAGTGGTGGATACAGCTTCTCAAATGCACATTTAAGATAAGGAATATGTGCTCACCTTCCCACTAACTGGAAGGAGGGTGGTAGTGAACCAAGCCAGCAGGACCATGAGGATGAAAGTAACATTCCACCACACCAGAAAGCAAGGAAAATGCCAAGTCTTAAATTGGTCCCCTTCCCACCCTCATCTCTTAGATTCTCTTTTCTATTTCTCAGTGAAAGAGAGGGCCACCACATCAGTGCAGGATGCCTTATGCCTTGACTATCACTGGAATAAGAAATGCATGTCTATGTTATTTACTGAAGCCACTGCCATTTTGAGATCTTTGTGATGTCATCCAAATCCAAATCATAACTAATAGAAGGAGAGAATGGAAAACCACTAAACCAAAAATTATTTTAAAAGTGCATTTTAAGGTTCAGCTTATATGCAAAGGCTTCAATGTAAGAGAACCTGGAACATTTTAGGAGCTTTAGTTTGGCTCTGCTCAACTTTGAGATCCAGGAAGGGGTGAAAATAAAAGTAGAGAGATTTATCAGGTTCAGTTCATGAAAAATGGGTCCCCCCAGGCTAAAGAACATGGGCTTTACCCTGGGGCAATGATTATCCCCTGAGGGGCCCTCTAAGGGAATGACATGACACTCCTGAGCTTAAGGATGATCCCTTCAGCTGCCCTTGGGAGCTAAGGTGGGAGAGTAGAGTATGCACTAAGGATAAGAATTAACAGGCAAGAGATGACTGTGGCCATAGAGCAGACACACAGGTGGAGAGAAGCAAATCTACCTGAGAGATACCCAGGAGGCTCAGTCATTAAAATCTCATGACTGAGTGGTGGAAGGGTGTGGAGGAGCAAAGATTATGTCTGGGTTTGTGGCTTAAGCAACAGCACTGTGAGTGGCATCTTTGCTTTGCTAAAATAGGCAGCATGCTTTAGAGGTAAGCCTGGTACTGGAATGAGATTGGAGGTTATGAGTAGATTGTGAGTTTAATTTTGTAGTTGTGGATTATGAAGTTCTGGTGGAACATAGAAAAGGTAGTGTCCAGTTGACAGAATTAAAAATTAATAAATCCATGACTGAATGGCACGGATGGATTAAACTAACAGAGAGTCTTCATTTAGCATTCTAAAATCCACCCACAGAACTGCCAATTTTTTGCTTTTCCAAATTTAATTGAATTGAGAATGCTATGAAAGCAATCCTATGGTGCTCAACCATCACTGTCCTCATAGACACTAATGGATTTTATTTATTTTGATTGCTCTAGGTGGAAGCTATATCTCAAAAAATATTCTATTTAAGTCACAAGTCCTCCAGTGGGGAGAGGCTTTCTACTTCTTTCTTGTGTGCCTGATCATTTTAGTCATCTAACAGTATTAACCGACAATGTGGCATTTTTGAGCAGAGCTTGCCATGGGTTAGGAGGAGTTATGAGGACACAGTAATGGCTGGCTCTGGAGAGGACCCCAACAATGATTCAGCAGTGCATCTTCCCTGGACATTCTTCTCAAAGTTTATTTTTCTCTGACTGAACTGTGTCTGTTTTTGTTCCCCCACTGTATTCCCAGCACCTAGCCCCATGTCTGACTCACAGCAGGTGCTGAATAAAAACAACAACAAAAAGAATGCATGTTTAATTAAGTGCCAACAAATACACTTTAAATTCTGGCTATTTAGAAACTGCAGGCCAAAAATACTCAGATGAAAACATGCATCACTACACACAGTAGGGTTAACCAGACAACCCATAATCATAAACTAATGGATAATGATGAAGCTCAAGTATTAATCATTTATAAGTAAAAAGCAAGAAACACAGGCATTGAGATCCAGGAGCAACTTAAGTCAACTCTGACAATGCACTGATGGCATCCTTTCTGAATGCTTTACGAATTCTTGAAATCTATGTTTGCAAGCATATGGTAGTGATGTTTCACCTTGGCCAAGCAGTGAGAGAGAGGCAGCCTGCTCAGTTGAACAGCAGATTAAAGTCATCAATAAACTCCAGGACCACTTTGGAGAGGAGCCTGGCAGGTCCTCAGAAGCTTAAAAATAGAGTTTCCATATAATATAGTAATTCCACTCCTAGGTAGATACCCAAAGGAAATGAAAACAGTTATATATAAAAGCTTAGAAACTAATTTTCATAGCAACATTATTTCTGATGTAGAAATGATTCAAATACTCATCAACTGATAAGTAGATAAAGAAAATATGGTATGACCATGCAAAAATAATACTATCTGGTAATAAAAAGTAATTAAATACTGATACATACTACAATAGGGATGGACTTGTACAACATTATGGTAAATAAAAGAATCCACATAAAAATGATCACATATGTATGATTCCACTGATATAAAACATCCATAGAGACAGAAAGTAGATTATTGGTTTCATAGCGCCTGGGGGTTTCCTTTGAGGTGATGAAACTTTTAAAAATTGTGGTGGGCCTCTCTGGGGAGCAAGGGGTTAAGCACAGCGCTGTGAAGCTATCCACAGCCTCTGCAGCATGAGTTCGATCCCCAGCCTGCCAGGGAGCTACCCACATAGCACAATAGACCTCTCCTGTCTTGCCCTCTGCTCCCCTCAGCAGTGTATTTCAGTCAGTCTGCCTATTCTGTTCCCCACTCTGTCTCTGGTGAATCCTCTCACTCCTTGAACTTCTGGCTTGTACCCCAGTTCTTATATGCATAAATGAATAAATCTTTAACAATAATAATAGTAAGTAAATAAAAATTGTGATGATAGTTGAACTCTGTCAATATTCTAAAAACTATGAAATTGTATAGTTTAAATGTGTGAATTGTATGGTGTGTGAATCATACCTCAATGAAGCTATTATAAAAAGAAAAAAAAAAAGCACCTCCAAGAATAAGTGCTTATCTGGTTAGTCACTGTTTATTGGTGGGGTTTAGTCATAGGAAGTCATCAAATTCTATGGGAAGAACCAGCTCAAGTGGTCTGTCACTTCAAACAGTCACTTCAACTCATGATGTCTTGGTTTCCTCATGTGCAGGGCAGAAGGAACAAGGTGGATGCTACTGGTACAACTCTTCACTAGGGGCTTCTCTACCTGAGGACTTTCTCCAGTCACATGAAGGCACCTGGCATTCAGCCAGGACACACAGGAAGAGCTTGTCCCTGGAAGTAGTCACTGACCAATTTCAAACAGGGGCCACTGGATCAAAACCTTCTCTTCATTGCCAGTCAAATGTTGCCTCCCAGAGGTACGTTCTACAGTGTCTCCCCAGACATGTCATGTCAAGGAGCACTGAGTCCCAGGTGCCCACAGAAGCAACCTGTTCACTGACAAATCCCACTGCTTTCCTTCCTTTGCCCAGCCCACTTCTCCATTCCCTAATGGTTCTTCCTGGCATCACCTTCTAAGAAAACTACCTGCACAGAATCTCTTGCCTTTGAATCTTCTTCTGAGGAAACTCAACTTAAAGACAAGACGTATGAAACTCCATCTGCTTAGAACTATTGGGAGGATGAAATAAGATATTTCACATAAAGCATTTCAGCACTGTGTCTGGCCTCTTAATAACTACTAACTATCATCATTGTCGTTTTTGTCTTTGTCATCATTATTATCACTGTTGTCACTGCTACTATTGAAAACAACTGCCTTTTATTTTTATTGGATCTTAACCCACCTGGAAGTCTGCCTCAGCCTCCAGTATATGAGAAATATCAAGCCAGTATTGTCCTCCTTATTTCACTACTGAGCATTTAGTTAATTATTTTTTCCCAATTGATTCTAGGTTTTCAAAGACTTTATCTAGCAAATAGCATAGATTAAGTAATAATTCATTGCTCTCCCATGTTTTATTAATCAGACACATATAACTGCCTATCAAACTTCTGATCAGCATGAAATTACCAGGGTCACCACACAGAGCTAATACCATTTCAGTCAAAAGCAAAGAATCTCAATGTTTTTGTTAGTCTGTGAAGCTTTCTCACTTGTTAAAGCATGATTATATTAGACTTTATGAAATATTTAAAATAGCTTGCAGACCTCCACTGCTACTATTATAGTCTCCCGAAGTCCTAGTAACCTCATGCTGGCAGTTGCTGATCTAATAAACCAAAATTCATTAAGAAATATGCTTGTTTTTATTATAAGAATTGCAGCAATAAAACCTTACTGTCATACTTGGCAGTAACCTTTCCTTATATGATGAGAAAATAAAGGATAAATGGATTTTTAGTAATGTATGTTTTTATCTTGACCTTTTCACAATGAAATATTCTCAAATCTAAGAGTGGCTGTATTACTCTAAGATGCCATTTCAAGTTTCCTACCACAATATTTAGGGATCATGGATATGCAGGAAAACGATAAAAGAGAGAAATAGGGAGGAGAAAATGAGCTGTTTAGAACAGGAGAGCAAAGGTAATATCTAACTTTCCATTGCTTAAAGCAAATCTCACTTACCAGGGTCACGTTGTTAGGGAGGTGTGTAAAGTGCATTTGCTTGGCTCTCTGGACTTATGCTTCCTTCCCTATGCTTCTCTGTCCTTGGTAGATCAGCTGGTAGCCTTGTCCTCTGGCTTCCAGCTGGGTTCAGCAAATGAGGAACACCAGCAAAAATATCAGAGCTAGAGGAAGACTAGGCAGGGCACCACTTCTCCGGGCTTCCTTCCTAAGGGTGGCTGCATCTCTCCCCTGTGACAGTCCTGTCACAGAAAGCCCTTTTCACACAACTCTCTATGACTCTGACTCTGGTAACTACTGTGTCATCCTTTATCCCAGAAGTTTTGTGATAATGATAGTGTCTTACCATTTCTAGGTCAATAAGGCAGAACTAACCCCTTGTGATTTTCCTATACATCACCCACCGCATTTGTCAATAGCCTTAAAACTAACTAGTTTAATGGTGTGTTCTATTTCTTTTCCAGAATCCTGACTAAATCAGAAATGAGAGGTAAGAGAACCAGATTGAAATGGTCCACAAAACAAGTATATTCTGGCCCAGGGAAAGTAAAAAATGGTGGGCAAAATTTTTAGAGGTACCAATAGGTTATATCTGGCCCACCAGAATTCCCAATATGTGAGCTAGATATAGAGCATAAAATTAATAAGGTTGGTATCAGAAACAAACAATAGGATTACATACATCTAGTACCTAATAAATAATTAATACAAACTACTATTACTATATTCAAGGATCTATAAAAAACAGCAACAAATTGCATAAGTTTATCTTTTTTGATTGGTGTTGGAAGGGATCATGCTCAGCAAAATAAGCCAGAAAGAAAAAGAAAAATACCGGATGGTCTCACTCGTAGCAGGAATTCAGAAATCCTAAATAAGGGACCAGGAAAAAGACTAATTGCAATAAAGTAAAAATCAAAATCAACAAGCAACTATAGACCAGAGACACACTACAGTGGGGGCCGGGGGGAGGAGAAGAGGGATTAGGGTCAGAAAAAGGGTGTGGGAATTGTATGGGGAATATAACAAAAATGAAAATGCATACATTATGCAAAAATGAAAAATGATGTAAGAATTATATAAAATAATTCATTAAAAATATATAAATTTACAAAAAAAAAGAAAACAGCAACAAAAACAACAATATTCACTGCTTTGTGAATAACAAAAAGCACCACTGGGATCTGAACTCAAGTTTGAGTCATCACCGCAGTTAAGAGGACAAGTTGCCTGCACCAAGTATAACCAAGACTCATTGGGCCTCCCCTGTTGGCGCAGTGGTTGAGCACTGGGCTGTGAAGCTGCCCACAGCCTCTGCAGTGCCGGTTCCATCCCTGGCCGCCAGCGAGGGTCCACATGGCATGCAGGCCTCTCCTGCCGTGCCTGCTACTCCCCTCAGCAGTGTATTTCGTCAGTCTGCCTGTTCTGTTTCCCGCTCTGGCTCTCATGAATTCTCTCACCCTCCCACACTTCTGACTGTACCCAGTGCTTGTATAAATAAATAAATCTTTAAAAAAAAAAAAAGGACTCATTGAGTGCTTATGATTTGCCAAGGATATGCTAATCACTTTCCAAATGTTGTTTCATTGAACACAACAGTACTATTAGGGGAGTAACTTGAAATCATCCTCTGAAAATGAGAAAATAGAGAAGGCTGGTAGGAGTAAGACAGCTTTTCAAGCTCACATGGTGCAAAGTTGGTAGAAGTGGCATTTCAACCCAGACCATATACCCATAGCTAGGATCCAGTGTCCCCCATTTACAAGAGACCAGTTCTTTAGAGAGAATCTTGAGCAAATTGATGGGCATGGAGTCAGGTTGCCTGAGTATAGAAAATGTCTGTGATTTATCATTGTCAAAATGCCTTTCAAGAAAATATGCTATAATTGTACATTTAATTCAGCGGCAGCAAAACACGATGTTCCAGCTAAGCGTATGGCAAAGTGACATGTGTTGAGATTGTGACCCTTCTGGGAGGCAGTCTTGTAAAATTCGCGCTAAAGAAAAATAACCAACAGACAGATGCAGTGGTTTATTGGCTCATAACTTCGTGGCATCTCAGTGACTCCCAGGAAGGAAGAAGAAGACATGATGAGCCTCCCTACAACCCAAAGGGCATAAGATGGTTGTTCTAGCGAGAGTGGATTTATGTCTTTTCTGTCCTTGAATATTCACCAAACTCCCAACTGGGGAGAGAGCTGGAGAACACTAGCAGGGTGAGTGTGAGTCAGAGATGAGTGGAATCCCTCTTTGGCACTCTCTGGGCTCTTTCTACCCAAACCATGCCTTTGGCTGACTAGGAAAGCATAGGAGAACATCGCAGGTTGGGCAGCTGGGCCTCTTGATCCAGTGAGACTGCCTGCCATGGACTGAGCTTGACCATGGTCTAGTCTGAGAATCTGCATGTGGGCACAGCTGGTGCTGCTTATGAGGGCACACAACACTTCCATGCTGAGTTATGTTCTAGACTTCGGCAGAGATGCAAAGACCTGCCCTCCTGCCCTGCTTCAGTCACATCAACATTGCAAACGGCAGAATATCAGCACCTACTGCTCATGTTTACAATGCCAGCGCAGGGTGGGATGTCTCTCAAGAGGTCAATTAATAATTGCAGAATCAATGATAAACCACCATTTTGTTGGTATCATAGAAAGCCTTTCTAAACTCCAGTCTTAGAAGGGGTGGGGGAGATACAGGAAGAAGCTACCCCCTTACCAGTACATAGTCACACAATGATCAGACACAAGACCCCAACACTTTGAAACAAGACCTACACACATACCCTGTACACATACACCCCACACCCTCACACATGAAAATAACTGTATTCCATCCTGTACCCTCACTCATGTCATAGACAACTGATTCAAGGAAAGATACCTGAACCAAATCTGACCAATAAAATTCTCCTTAGGGATTTGAAATTCAGCATATACAAATATGACAATGGATAACATCCAACCTGAAGCATGTTGGTGTGAGAGTTCTAGAAAGTCCACAAATCCCCTTCCCAGTACCCAGATGTTTTTGTTTTCTTCCCTTATGAGCCAGTCCCTCTTTTGATTCCATGTATACACCACAGTCCCATTGTTATAGTTTGAATTGTGTGCCCCCCAAAAAGATGTGATGGAGTTCTAACTTTCAGTACCTCAGAAAGTTGTAACTGAATATAACTATATTTTGGAATACGGTCTTTATAGATATAATCAAGTGAAATGAGGTCATTAGGGTGGGCCTTAGTCCACTACAACTGGAGTCCTTATGAAAAGGGAAATTTGGACACAGATACAGACACTCACAAAAGTGAAGGCAACAATTGGTGTGATTCATTTATAAGCTAAGGAATCCTGACAAGCAACAATAAACACCAGAAGCCAAAAGAAAGGTATGGAAGAAGGTCTCCCTCTTAGATATCAAAAGGAGCCAGCCTTGCCTATACCATGTCGCAAGACTTCTAGTATCCAGAACTGTCTGACAATAAATCCTGCTGTTTTAAGACACCCAGTTGGCGGCACTTTGTTACAACAGTCCTGGAATCTCATATAGGCTCTTTCTTAAAATCTTGCCTTGAGTCACAAAAGAGGTTGACCTGGGATAATTTGATAGAAATTTATAAATTTTCTGTACAGTTGGACCAAATTTACAGTAATATTTAAAGGGTTATTGATTACTTAAAAATAGTCAATACTTCAAATAACCAATACTCTATGGCCATAGTTGAACTCTGGTTTAATTTAAGACAGGAGAATTAGCAATTTGGAGCTTTTTGGTAAATTTTTAAAAAAGGTTCTGCTTTGCATGGAGTAAAGTAGACTACTGAAAAAAATCAAGGAAGGGCAGAGTATCCTAAGAAACATCTTTGAAAGTGACTAATAGCAAACTTTGTCTTATGTGTCATTAAACTCTGTTCTTAGAAGAAAAAGAAAAGACAGCTATTAGGTTTGGTGAAGGACTCTCTTTGCTTTCCAGCGAAGATCCCTGTGACTTTGATCTTTTGATTGTGCCCAAATAATGATGTGTTTGGCCTAAAAATAGTTCTGCAAGGATGAAACTGAAATTTATTTTCTGGGACTATGTTAAAGGTAGCACGCTGAACTCTGA